TTGATCAATTTAGATCTCAAGTACTCCAACTAACCTTTCTATCACTTTAATAAGTTCCAACACAATGCATATCCATTCTTACCCCTTTTTCACTTGTTAATTTAGAGCTATTTCAAGCCTACTACTTTAAAGCTTTATTATTAACTCCTACACTAGTCGCAAAACCTTAACTCGATTCTTGAGAATTTTTTTATTACAAAAAGGTACGAAGTAAACTCCTTAAAACTTTTCAATTCAATTTCTCATAACTTATACTAAGAGAAACTAGGGTAGAATTAGAGCTAAAGGTGATATGAAACTTACCTAGCAAGCAACTAATTGGAAGTATATCCCAAGCCCCCGAAACTAGATGCCCTAGTAGAGCATACCTTCCTCCTCCTCTCTCTCATGCATTTCCTACCTTTCTCTTCTATTTTCACAAGTTGTTCCATATGTTTAGTACTATAATTCCGTGCCATGCATCATAGCGTATGCTACATATGCCACGGCGTGTGGCACAATGAAGAAAATTCTTACTGTACTCACATGCTTTACTCTGCAATGCTGTTCTTTAACTCAATCTTATCTATTTAACATCCAAACAAGTCAAAACATTAACTTACCATCCAAAATTTTAATTACTCACTAATTTATTAATTTATTCCTAATTAGTAATTAGTTCCAGAGTTAGAAATTCAGGATGCTACATGATCTATTTGTTTTAGTCCTTGAGGATGAACTTACTTTAAGAATTTTCCTTTGGGTTTTTCATTGTTCTTTGCTTATTATAATATCCACTTTGCTCATCATAATAAACTCTTGCTTTCTAGCTCCCACCTCTGCACGAGCTTTAGCTTTTTTTATTGTAACTTTACCAACTTTTTGATTAGTCTCATCTGTCTTTCCCTTTTTCCATACTAGGAGTAGTAGTAACAAACTTCATTTTTTCCTCTTCCATGCTAGCCAATAAGTCAAATCTAGAGCTTATCACCTTTTTCCTTTTTCCTCCAAGTCTATTTTGCACTTTTTTTAACCATTTGACATTTATCATTCCTATTTCTCAATGGCTTCCATCTTAGGGATTGCTTCACCATCATACATGTACCTCTATAGTCCTCCTCTATTATTACTTTAGTCATCATTTTTAGGTTGGAGGGCATTAATTGCTTATGCTTTGACCCATTAACATTTGCTTGCACATCCTCTATTTTCTTCATCTCTCCCTCCCCATTTTAAGATGGTGTTTTGGATGTGTTCTAAGCAATACTAGTCAATTTTAATAGTAGGTAATCTACCCTCTGGTTACCAGATTTACCACAATAGAAGCATAAAATGTCCAAGCCCTCATAAGCCACATTAAATATGTGTCTCCTAACTATAATCCTGCTAACCTCTTTAGATCAACTTCAATGCTAATTTGAGCAAAATCTCCCCTCTCCACAACCCTTTGTTGATCTCCTTTTCTCGCTAGTGTATTCAAATCCACTATTAGTGTTTTCCCTATTAAATTACCAAGTTCCCAAAGAGTATCCACAGTGTAACAAAACATAGGCAGCATGGGGACTCTTACCTATGTGGCCAACTTTCCCAGAGTATTTTTATAACAATTGAAGCTACGGCCCCATCTTTGCACCATAAGATGGTATCCATGAATGACCCATGTCCCCTTATTCAAAACCTTTTAATAATAGGATATATCATTGAATTTGATGGTATAATAGTTGTTAGCAAGGTTAATGAACTCAAAATCCCTAGTAGCCTATAACTTTCCTATCTTGTCCTTTAGTTTAAGTCTTTTCATCCGTTGACCCAGCAAGGTAACCACTAAGGCATCCTTCTATCTCCTACAGAGCTCTATCCATCTTTCATCTGGCATGTTGAGCTTAGGTAGCTTATACACTATTGCTTTTTGTTCCATGGTCATCACACTTTTCTATCTCATCCATAGCCACATCCTCATCCATTGTCTTAATGCCATGGTAGAGAACATCTTAATCTACCTTTGAGAGACATTCCATGCCTTAATCTCCTGGATTCCATCGTTGTTGCCGAAACTTGCACCACCTCTCTCACTCATTGCACTCTGACACTGAAACTTTTATTACTTTAAGAGACATATAAACAATTTTTTTATAATCAATTTCTTCCAATAGATATCCAAAGAAACTTGAAGGTTCTTGTTTAGATAACTTAAACAATCAATTTTAAAGGTCAAAACAATGATTTTGTAAAAATATATCCAACCATCATGCCACATGTTAAAATCAATTATGAATCTAAAATCATATTTTGTAAAAATATCCAAACATATATTATAGAAGTCAAAATCAATTATGAATCCAAAATTATATTTTCTTAAAAATATTCAAACACACTTTAAGGTGTATTTGGATTTCATTTGGAAAAAAATTTATTGGGGAAAAATTGATTAAGGGAATGTGATAATGTTTAAATAATTTTTTTAAATTAAAGATGATTGAATGATCTTTCATAATCAATTTTTTAATATTCAAATTACAATTAAGGACTTTCTTTTTTATAATGCAAATATTTATAAGTCAAATGGAGGGTAAAATTGTAAAATGGACATTTGATAACTTCCAACAATTATAATTGATTTTCAACTAAGATTTAGTGTGTGTTTGGATACCAAAAATAATTGATTTTTGGTCCCAAAAATTGATTCTCCACAAAATTATTCAAACACCCAACATTTTAGTTAATCGATTTTTGGGCCAAAACTTAATTTTTCTTGAAAGTTGAGAATCCGAGCATCCACAGAAAAGCTTGCCAAAAAGCATTGGAGAAAATTACAAAGAAAGTACATAATTTAATAAAAATAAAACTAAACTCTCTTTTCTTCTCCTTTTTTTTCTTTAATAAAATTCAAACTTTGTATCCTCAAAAAATTAATGTTTGGTATTTAAGAATTAAATTATATAGTAATTTATATAGCTAAAATTAATTCTGATTAAATTATCCTAACATCTTCAATTTTGTTAAAATTAATTTTAGAAAAACAGTATCTAAATGAATTATGTTATAACATAATCAATTATGATTAAAATCTACTATTTAATTAGTTATTTTTATAATCTATTATACCCAACTGAAATTCAAACAGGTACTTAGAAGCCAAATGGAATTGAGAAAAATTGTTAGTATTTGAATACACCCCCTTCCAAAACTTGGTTTTGGAGCTCATAATTAATTATTTTGGGATATTCAATCAAGCTCTAAGGGCCTGTTTGGATACTCATTGAGAATCAATTCTAGGATCAAAATTATGGTTTTGTAAAAATTTATCTAAATACTCTCATTTTACAAAACTCCATTTGGCTTGGAAAACTCCATTTTAGAGAAGTTGAAATCTCTTCCATTTACAAAATTTCATTTGACTCCTTTTCTTTATATCATTTATTTGCACATTCAAAATTGATTCTTAAAAAATTATCCAAACATATTCAATTTATAAAAATCAATTTCTAAAAATTTATCCAAACATCATCACGTTTTAATAATCAATTTTTTCTCTAATTAATTTTTTTTAATTGAAATCCAAACACACCCTAAAGCATTAAGTTAAAAGCCTTCCTCCGCTAAGTTGGTGTGCATTCAACCAATGATTTGCTAAACTCAGTTTGCTATATTTTTAATCTTAGAATATTTTATGAATGCGTTGCATAGTTCTTGGTGCTAGGGATCTTTCATTGTCTGTGTATTATTTTGTTCAGTTAAAACCGTTTTCTCATGCTTCAGTTATCATTTTATTTGACTGTTTTCTTTGCTGATCGGCATGAAACTCACCCACTTGTGCAAATTTTTTTGCAAATCCACCGAATGAAGAGGGACTTTTTGAGTAAAAAGAGTAAACTTCATTACTCAAAGAATATGCATATATACCAGCCATTAGTTTGCACAAAAAACTAACCAAGACTACAAATTTAAAATGTTTACAAAGGAAGAAAGAGTTAGCTATTAATAAAACATTAGTAGTGGTTTTAGGATCTTAAATTAGTGAGGATAATTTTTCTCATTGAAGTTCATTTAAAAAAAATTAATAATGTATAAATTTATAAATATAAATCATCCCCGTTCTATTTAAATTTAAGTGGGAGTGGGGTTTAAATAATGGTTGAAATTTAAAAATTTTATTATTTATGTAAAAGATATAATCTTGTTTAAATGTTGCAAGTAGTTTTCTTAATTTGGAACAAGTAATTATCTTTTTGGCAATAAAAAATAGAGACAAATAATCTACCCCTTTTTAAAGTCAAAATTACTTTTCTCTTAAAAATAATTATGACTTATCTGAAATTCAGGGGGAAAAAAAGATGAGAATGAAAAGAAAGGTTTTTTTTTTTTCAAACTTTAGCAAAAAATAATTTTTAAAAAATATATTAAAATTCAGAACAAAAAGATGAGAATGAAAAGAAAGGTTTTTTTTTTTAAAATTTAGCAAAAAATAAGTTTTAAAAAATATATTTAATATATTTAAGAGTTTAAATAAAATCCTCATAAAAATAATATTTGATGCAGATTTTTTTTTAAATTTTTAAATACTATATATGGTATAGAAGAGTTGAATATGAATATATAAGTAGAAATTATTATTAATATTATTATCATCATCATCATCTAATTAATGAATAAATGTTATTATTTAAAATAATTAACTTTGTTATTTAAGAAATTAATTTTGCACCTATATCAAATTCTTTCTAATATTAAGAATAATATTTTTTTATTAAAAAATATAAAATATTTTTAATTAAATTTTATTTTCAATAAAATAATTATTTATATTTATATTAATTATATCTTTTATATTTACTCATATTTAATAAGATATTTTATTTTAAAAAATATAAAATAATTTATTTAATATTTTTTAAAAATGATAATTATATTTTAAAAAGATTAAAAATATATTATATTTTATGATATTTAATTTTAAAAAAATATTTTTATATTTTTATATTTTAGAATAAGGAGGGGAGTGATAATTATTGTTATTGTAACCCCGCCAAAGCCATTCGAGTGAGTAGCGGATCCAGTTTCCTTCGTCGACTAACAAGCATTACGCACTCCGTCGGACGCCGTCCGCCGTTGTCAGCCCTGCGTGGTTGTTTTCTGGCAAGCAGTGAAGAAGGTTTCAACCTAGGGCTTTTTATACTCCCAAAATCTGGTGAGATTGATTTGCTCTATCTGGCTTTGAATCTATATTTGAATTTGTTCCCTTGCCACCTCTTCCCTGAGTGGCTGTTCCTGCTTTGTTTTTAATTTTTCATTTTAATCTAGCTTTGAATCTGGTCGTGTAATCGTTGAACATTTTAGATGTGCTGATAGACAGGCGAAGTATACTCAGACTATCCCTGATGTTTTGTGCTTCTTTAATCATCCTCCTTCCTGGTTACTTAAGGAGGAGGAAGAAGGAAGAAGTATAATGTCTACTAGCAACACTTTGTAGTTCTTAGTAATTTATGAATTATGTTTATCCGAAAAAATTGGGAATATTTACATATTGTATTGAATTTAATTTTTGTGCGCAAGTTTTTTGCTTCAATGGTGTGTAACCGGCTATTATACTTCTTCCCTATTCATTTTGATTACTAACGACTTGCATGATTTGGATTGTGTTGTTTTGAAATGCTGTTGTTGTGTATTGACATTCTGTTTATTATTATTATTTTTTTTATCATCAATTTAGGAAAATTCTCAAGGTAGTTGTGATGGATGCATGATCTTGTAAATGACTTGGCTCGAGTTGTGTCAAAGTATCTGGGGCAAAATTAAAAGGTTATATATCAAATATGCACATTTCAAAGATTTCAGTTTGGTCAGATGCACCCAGTGAGTGTAGTATATGTCCGCCTATGGCTATGACTAAGGGACTTGATATATCTTGAAGATCACTAGAGAGGTACTTTCAGATTAAAAAGGGATAAAAAAAAAACCTACTAGAGGTCCAAAGAGAATTAAATTATTGGAAAAGTTACAGAGTGCAACCTTTAATTTAGCCCATTTATTTTGGAAGATTTAAATTTTGAAATATTTTAAATGATTCAGAGACTAAAATTTTAAAATGAATGGAAAAATTATAATATAATATTCTAAGTTTGATAGAGAAATTTATAATTCACTACTCTGTTTAAATTTTTTATTCTTGGATCTTTAAAAATTACTTCAATGTTAACAATGATGAATTTTTTTTTTTCCTTGTGATGAGTAAATGGCATGGGAATGATTTAATTTAGGCCTTACTTTGCTTTAAGTTCTTTCTGGGTCCATGTTATAGCTAGATTTAAATCCTTTGTTTTAAAAATAACCTTCTGTGGCAGCATTCCCCTGATTTTCATAATTGTCCAGAGGCTTCTGTCTTAAATAATAGCTAATACAGAGGTCATTCCTTTCTCTATGTTTATAAAATAAACCATCTTTTGATCTATCATTCGCTCATATTATATCAATGTAAAAGTATAATATTCAATTTGCACGGTCTCTATATTCATATATAAGGGTGTCTTCTTATGTGCAAATTAGAATTAGAATTTAGATCCCACATGCCACATTTTCCGAAATTACTGCCACTAAACTTGGTTTAGCTCCATACCTATACACATAGACTTGCACATACACCCTAGTACCTTCCCCACTGTCCACATGAATTATAGGACAGTTAATTGCTTACCATATGTCGGGGTGTTATTTGAAAAATTTTATCTGCACTATTTTCAATTAATATATGTGAGTTGTAGTATTCATAAGGTGAGGCCACAGAGAAAGGAATAAACAGTAATCAATATTCTTGTGTTTAATTAGTGACTAGGCAGATAGATAGCTAGAGGCCATATGCTTTACCTTGATATTCAAGCTAAGTAAATTGATTCATGCATATAATTGTGGATGTTGCTGATCCTTTAATTTATTCCTTTTTGGTAATTTGTTGTTTAGTGAACCAAGCATGATAAAAATGCTGGATTCTAACCTTCTCTGGTATTTTGAAGAGTATACTACTGGTTTTAGATACTTTTTGAATGTTTCATTCTTTGAAGGAGAAGAAATTTTGTGACCTTGTGGAGTATGTTGAAACGATTGTTGGGGAAAAAGTGGTGCTTAATCATTTGATAAGCAAGGGATTTATAGAAGGCTACAAAGATTTGATTTACCAAAGTGAAAGAGATAAGTCATGTGGATCTTGATGGTGATATTCGTGGTAATGTCTCAACTTATGAGATTGATGTGTCATTGTTTGAGACATTTAAGGACATGTCTCAATCACTCTCACAAATTTATCTTATATGATAGACAATAATGTAAAAATTTGAACATAATTTGGAAAATGACATATAGGTCCCCTGTATAAAAGAAAATGATAGATAGGTCCCTCAAATTTACAAAATGACACAAGTTTATAGGTCTTTAATTGTAAAAAATGAAATAAAAAGAACTGATGGATGAAAATTCCTCTACTTGGTCAGTACCATGGCACATTTATTAATCCTAGAAGATGAGTTATAAATATTGAACGATTGAGTTGTTAATCTTAGATGAGTGTCATCACTTTGTCTCAACAACTTTGCCAATAAATCTTTGACTGGTGAAATTTCATCCCGCAATCATGATTCCACCCTCTTCACTCCTTGCTCTTTTGTTCATATCACTTTTTCTCTGTTTCTATTTACTTAGTGGGATTTCATGTCCTCCTGCTATATGCTTTTCTTTATAAATGGATGATTCTTTTGTCATTTGAGTACAAAAATTGGAAAGAATTTATTGGAGATTTCTTCCTTTTGTGTTATAGTGTATGTCTAGATGACTTTGCATTCTCAGTGTGTTTAGAGTTTGATAGTTGAATCCCGTATTTTTCATGCCTAATGCATTTTTGTTTAATGGCACGTTGCTTCTTGACTGCTTCAAGTATATGTTGATTACATATTAATGTTGGTCTTATTTTTATTCATGTAGCAAAAAGGTGTCCATGGCTGCAGAGTCAGCCACTCAAGATTCAAGGAAACGGACATTGGAGGCATTGGAGAGAAGATTTGCTGTTGCAAAAGCTGAGCTTCTCACACAACAAAAGAGGGATAAAAAGAATATAAAAGAATATGGGAAACAACATGATACTGCAAGTATTACCTCCACTGATTCCTCATCACTTTTATGTGGTCCCTCAAGCACGCCTCCTGTGAGCACATCTTCCAAGAAAGGTTATTCAACTTTCAATTTTTATGTCCTTTTGTTTTCCTCTTTTTACATTGTTCCACTTTTTCAAATAAATAAATAAATAAGCATTTTGAATAAAATCTTGGTGCACACTTTTTAACTGTTATATCAGCCTCACTTAATTTTGAGTGAAGCACTTACACTTGGTTGAATTTGACTCTTCCTCTTGAATGTGTGCTGATTCCTTGCTTAAATGCAGAAGTTAATGTTCTTTGGTCATTTTTTGGTGTATGCCTAAAAGAGAAGTTGATGTTCTTTGCTTAAAACAGAGCTATATGCCTAGATGTGTCGTCAATTGCTGTTTTTTCTAATTGGACTATCCATTTATTTGTCATTTAAAAAGTGAGGGTGATGTAGTTTTGTATCCAAAGTCAAGAAAAGTCCATATACTGTTTCATTATTTATAAGATTACTTGAAGTATACGAGAGATCTACAATATATGATTTGCCCCATTGGACAAAAGATGTCACTTACAGAATCTCAGACATTTATTCGTTGGCTTTGTGATGAACTTAATAGTGTGATCATTAAAATTCATTAATTTCATGGTACCCAATGGGCGTTCATTACGTACAGTTTGAGTTTGTTGGGAAGAGTTTTATCCTCACTTTCATGTGATACATGTGCATCTTGCTTGGTGGCAGAAGTTTTGGGATTTGTTGCTCATTTAATAATTTGCATAAGAGAATTTACCAACAAAAAAAAAAAATTCATAAGAGAAGCTTGGAAGCATCTTGACTGGCTTGGTTTTTGACTCATTCTCCTAATCATGGTCTTTTAGGGAATTTCACTTTCTCTGGCCTGGCTACTTTGCAAGGTACTGGACAATCCATGCAATACTACCTTTACACACACACACACACACACACACACACTCACGTTTGTGTATGCTATTATATACATGCATGTGTATGCTTGTGTATGTATGTATGCATTTACGTGCATACATATGTTTACCTACTGGTACATATATATATCTATGTACATATATGCATGTGAATGTATTTAAATACACATACATATGCTTGTGCACACATACATGCATATGCATTTATATCTACATATACATATATATACACGCATACATGTATATATACATTATCTATATACGTATTCTGAACATTTTCAACTTGTATGGACAACAAATAACTTGTGCTTCTCTGTAGACAGTGAAGAAGGTGCTCCAACTTATGCACAGCTCTCTCAGACTGTACATGAAAATCTGCTAGCTACTAATGAGGAGGTATTCCTTTTTCTTGGAATTCACGTGTCAAGATTAAGAGAAGTGACAGACAATTCATACCAAAACTTTCATTCTGCTAAAAAGGAGGGAAATTCAAACCTCCACTATGTAACATCATGAAGTTAACTTTCATCTTATCTAAACAACATGAAATAATCAGTGATGGAAATTTTAATTACAGATTTCATAAGACCCTTTTGAAAACTTTTATTATGCAATTCAAGGGTTCTGACTAAAGCAGAGATGTTGAAGTTTCTCTATGTTTTTGGGGGATTAGGAGTAATTAGGGAATTAGGATAAGGGTAGATAGGGAATTGAGACAAAAGGGAAATTCGGGTATTTGGCAAATATATGATACCATTTGATCCATGACAGAAGCCTTAAAACCTTAATGGGCAAATTCTTAATTCATTTTCTGCCAAATCGATACACAGATTCCCTATTTTTAATGGAAATATTAGCCAAATACCCTAATGCCCTTTTCTCCAAATTCCTTCACTACCCTTATCTTAATTCCCACATAACACTATATCTTCATATTTCAAAGTTGATATATATGATCCCCTCTCATGAAAAATGATCATATATTTTCCTACTACTAGCTAGAAATTTCTAAATTTTCTTGTATTTGTATTTCAAAGATGAAATCCCCAAAAAAAAAAAAAAAATTCCCCCTCTCATTCTGACTTAGATCATGCAGTTTTCTGCTGGGAGAGAAAGTTCAGTAAATAGTGTATTACATGAGCTTCTTCAGAAGGGAGATTCAGCTCCAAAATACATGCAAGGATCAAGAAGCATGAAAATTGATAATTGGATCCTTCTCGATAATCTTGTACAAAGATGTGGAGCATCTACTGGCTCTCACATTAGGGCTTTGCGAGTAAATTCAAAACGATCCAAGAAACACATGTCTATGAAACAACATAAAAAGCACGGAACATTAGACCTTCCTCGAAAGTTCCACAAGTAAGTTTTTGTGTTCTAAACTGCACATTTAGACAATTCTTTAGCCCATTTAGTTTTTAGCATTTCCTTAGAGCTGTAGTTGTGGAGAGTGGTACTGTCTCCACGGTGTTTCAAAGAGATTTTATTGGGAAAAACTTATATACGTAGGTTTATATCCTTAAAGTGCTTGTTTCCAATTAAATCAAAATATGTGGATATTTTATGTATTGTTTGTCCCATAACAAACTCTTGTTATTAATGTTATTAACACTTTAAGATCCACTTGTTTTGAGTTAATTGCACAAAAGTATATTAAGTGTACAAACATAAGTACCTAAGCCTTTCCCTTTACTATTTTCTTTTTTGTACCTAAACACAATGGCATTATACAATCCATATAGCCGACCCACCTAATGGAATGAGGGCTGCTTCTTGTTGTTGTAGTTTTTTATTAAGTGTGACTGATCATTTTTCAACAACTCATTGTTATAATCTATTTTGTAATGATGATATTCTTGTTCTCTAATTACTGTCCACTTGAATTACAGATTTGATACTTTCAGGCCGATGCATGAATTATGGAAAGGTTACATGCAGCAACTTCTTAATGCGGCTGGGTAGTTATTTCCATTTTCATCATTAACTGATTTCATATGCATGATTCCTAAAATTTATACTTGCTCTCGCTCATGATTTTTATGAATGTGGTCAATTTTTCAGGAAGAATCAATTAGCTCAATGTCTTCTTGATGCAGATCTACATGGTGCCATCATTCTAGGTTTGAGAACAGTTAATTTTGTCATGCTTATTTATTTTGCTTTGGGTTATTACTTTTAATTAGACACACATGGGTGTGTTCGTTAGAAATGAAAAATATGTTCCAATTCATGGTCCTGTTTATCTGACATTTAACCATTTCAATATCTTTCTAAGTTTATTATGTTGCATTATTAATGTGAAGTTATGTTGTTCCTGATTGAGCACAATATTCACTCTCCCAGAAGCTACTTAGGTGTTAGTAGATGCATATGTCATCTATCTGCATCAAAAGATAGGTTAAAATTGCTTTTGCTGAATGAGTAAGATTTATCAAGACCTATTTTGTGTTTAAAACAGCTAATGATGTTTACTGTGTAAGTTTAAAAGCAAAGATGATCTTTATGCTGTTTAGGCTACAGACCAGGAGCTGGCCCTTCCTCTCTAAAGAGGGAATCTCTCTGATTTAAACCCTCCTTGCCTTGATCTTGCTCAGGAATCAGGATTGCCTTAAACCTGCAGGCAATTTCATAGTTTGCACATTAAGGGGAAAAAAAAATTTGTTAGAACTCATGCAGAATGTGTTTTACAACTTTAAGGTTATTTTGTGATCTAAATCATAAAAATTGATCTCTCTCTCTCTCTCTTGGTTGCCAAAGCTGTTGCTTGGTGGATCAACTTATTTAATCTTGGAAGTTTGCTAAAAAGAGACGTGCTTTTAAGACTCATACAATAAATATTGAGCAATGTCATCTTAGCCTTCACCTCCACAATAGCTATATTTTTATCTTTTGAATGTCACTTTTTGCAGTTGTGGAGTGTAAAGTAATCTCTTTTACTGGAGTTTGTGGCATTATGATTCGTGAAACAGCAGAAACGTTTGGGATAATTACTGAAGATAACAAATTTCTAGGTAATCCTTCCACCATTTTTAGTTCTCTGTTGAACTCAATTGATGCATTTGCACTCTCATATGAATGTGTGTAATACAAGCCTTTTGATTTCTTTTGTTTTTTTTTTTAAACTTACAAAGTTATATAAGTTATAGCCAACCTCACCTAGTGGAATAAGTTCCACATTGGTTGTATGTCAAGTTATAGAACCTTCACTCAGTAATGAATATATATATATATATATATATGTAATATAAGCCTTTCATTTCTAGGCTTTCCAAAGCTCTCACTTTCTATGTTTTCTTCTTTGCACCACAGTATAACACTTTTAGGGAGGGATAAAAGAGAGCCAACAACAGTTATGTTGTTCAGTTGGGGCCTTGCTAACTTGGCCCCCATTTCTTGCAACTCTCTGGTCCAGCACATATCCAGCCACCATCTCCAGTGGTCATATTACAACTTTCTGAGATTCTCTGGCCTTTTCCCCCATATGAAGCTAGGGTTTTACAATGTCTGATCATTTTTCTTAGCAATGCTCTAATTACTTTTCTAGTAATCCTCTAGCCACGTGTATTGGTAGTTCTTTGTCTATTTTCTATTGTGCTTCATTGTATCCATTTTTCTTTGACTGCACATTGTTCCGGCAATTCTTCGCATCATGCATCATGATGGTGGCACTTTTCTCTGACTATGTTACTCCCACTGTTCTTTCCACTTCGCATCATCCCAATGTGGCTTTTCTGATTTTCTCTAGTCGTGTCTCTACTACTAATGTGTTGACCTACTTTTTGCAAGGCTTTTAACCTGATATTGTAGCATTTTTTGATCAAGCTTTTAGCAGTGTTGTTTTTAGGTCTCCTTGGTGATATTTCAAAATGGCAGAGTAACCTTTTTGTTTTTTTTTTTTTTTTGGATTCCTTAACCATTTTGAGACCTTTTTTCTATGTACGTCCAACTCTTACTGCTGCCTCTTGTAAAAAGTTCAACATTTTGATTATATTTTGCCATAGGAGTTCTGCTGACTAATTAATATTTTTAGCTAGCTTTTATTAGTAAACTTTTCTTGAGCTGTTTTCCTCTTCTATTACGTTTTGTTGGAATTTTTTCAATCTCAAGGCAAATTCTAGAATAGTAATGGTTTATCTTCGTAAATCAACTGTGCTATATACACGTTGGTTCCATCTCAAACCGAACAATTTTCACAATTGGGAACAAATCTCCCATTGGAGGCTTTTCATAGCATTTCTGATGGAAACCTTGCTACTATATTGTTTTCAGCTGTCAAAATACTGAATAACAGAGACAAAGCTACTGATTAAACACAACCTCTGGGAGATTGAAAATCTAAATATGTGCTATGTTTCTACCTCAATACGCAGATATTTTATTTGACCTGATGATTTTTTTTTTTTTTTTTTGGGGGTACCCTTTGAGATTTTAGTTGAAAAGCCCTAACAATTCCCAAACAAAATAAATATTACTTATGATATATAATATTATATTCTGCAATGTTGAGGTGGCCCCGCCATCCCCCAGGGGGGTTGAAGAGAGACTGAAGAAAAAGGGAGAAAACTACTGACAAGGGTTAGAGATTGGATTATAATTTACTATATTTGGAACAAGCGAAAACTCTACAACATCAAAGAATGTGGGATTAAAGCACGATACAATTTAGCTTATTAAATACATTTCTAACATTACCCTTTCTTTCTGTTAACTTGCAGTTGTTCCAAAAAAGATTTCTGTATTTGTTTTCCATGTTGATTGCTGGAAAGTCACTCTGCATGGGGACAAACTCACTTCAAGAAAATTGGGATTATGATATTTTGATTTCGGGTAATATATTGATGCTACATGGTGTCTTTTATTTATCTGCTTTGGTAGTTGACTCATCATCTTCATATCAAGCACACCTTATTATTCTTACTGTGATTTTGATTCTTTTGGTTGCCTGGCTGAGATTTATACAATTGGTGTTAGTGGTTAATGTAAACAGATTCATATGTGCAGTAAATAGTCTATAAGCTGCATATGTGAGTATCAAACAAGTAATGCTATGTTGACATAATGGATCTAAATGGCTGCTGCACTTTGAAACTATACATGTTTTAGATACTGCTATGTCAACCTTCGGAAAAATTAATTTTTAAAGGAGCTTGTAATCTTGGAAACATGTTTGTAACTTCAGAATTTAGAACAACATTGTTATAAATAATTCAAAGTCTACTTTGAATTATATATGGGATTTTAATTTTAGTTTTTGTCATGTATAAAACTAAGGAAAAGTGATCCTACATAATATTAATATTTCTAAGAGATTCTAAATCATTGGTCTTAATTTTGTAGCAGGATTTAAAACACAAATTTCAACTTTAGTGTTCATCTAGATATGCAAATGAGAAGATTGAACATTTCTAAATGCATAGGAGTTCCTCTGGTTTCCATATGTGGTAGGCCATTGCAGCAGTAAAAGCATACAGGACGAATTCCTCACCTTGTTCTGCATGAACGAACTCAAAAGTGCCTGTTCCCAGCTACTGTTTCTTCTACTCACTGATTTAGCATTAATCCAATTCATGACATTCTTAAATAGCACCGTGGACTGGCATAAATCTTGTACCCTATCCTTGCAATCACTTGTACCCATTAGCTACTGTGTAATTGGCATATGGGTTCACTATCTAGATGCCATTTTGAAATCCCTGCTCAGATTTTCTACTCTGTTTCATTATCCTTCTCCAATGCGAACTCACCTCATTAGGAATAGTACAAGTCTCATAGTTTTAGAGGGGTGTTTTTTTGGTTAGGATTGTAGGGAATATTTGCACTTAGCTTCTGGTTCAGCACATCATTTCAATTCTTTCTTTTTCCCCTGATTCTTTTATCAAATGGTTATCTTGTGGGAGCTTTTTGGCACGAAAATGGAGCTGGTCTGCTAATCTAGATTTTTATGCATTATGAACAACTATAAACACGGAAGTCATATGGTATGCAAAATGAAATGGACTGGACTTTGTGCAAAGCGTTTTTTTTTTAAAACAAAGAAAGACCAGAAATGTTCTTTATGACTTTGAATTAAAAAAAGTACAATTACCTTTTAAGTTTCATTGGAACCAAAGTCCCCAGTTTTGCTGGTCCAAACTATATTTGTTCATTACTTGTTTTTGTTTAAATAAATTATACAAAACCATTTTGAACTTTGATACGATTGCATATAACTGCCCCCACCTTTAAACATTTAGAATTAACCTCCTTGACTGTTTTTTATTCAAAGTCCCCTTGCCTTTAACTCGCTCATCTTATTAATAGAACTTGTTATGTTAGATTAATTATACATGGCACCAGACAAGTTAGATTAATCACTCATGATGGCTTGTTTATGATTGTATTGACGTTGTATTAGTCAGGTGGTCACACAATGAAATGCATGTTTTTTCCCTCTTTGAAACGAAGCTACTTGTAATATTGGAATCAATCAATTGATCTGCGCTAACGACTTTTAAATGAAAAAGTTGGAAATAATAAAACTGACTTGTTGGCAAAAAATAAACAAATAAATAAAACTGATTCGCATGCGCTACAATGTTCTTATCTCTTTTGTTGGCTGGCAGGCTAGGAATTGTACAGGTGCAGTTGAAGAGAGAGAAGTTTTGAAGAATTTGCAGTCAAAGGTTAGAAGCTGTTTGGCCTCACGTGTCTCAGTTCTTCAATTTCACAAGGCGGATTCATCCTCATCCTCTAAACATACTCCTTTAATCTTATTTATATGGTAGAGAGAGAAGATTAATGTTAATCTTATTTATAGGACACCTCACTATTTTTTATGCTTATCTTTACCTTTCTGCCCTTATTAAATGTTGAAAAAAATTATTAAAAATAATTGATGGTCTTGTTAGAAATAGAGGTGGAAACCTATTAAATTTTACAACGGAATTAATGAAATTTAAGGTTTTTCTTAGTTTTAGTTTAATATGCTAGAAGTTACTCATAAATAAGATTAGAAGGAGTTGGTTAATATCTTCAAGAACTTCTGATATCCTTAAATTAACAATGGTGTATGGGTATTGATTAATTTTAAAATAGACCAACCTTTCACCATTTGTTGAAATAGCATGATGTTGACCGTTGAATTCTAAGAATATAAAATTTAACGGATTAGGAAATGTTGGCCTCTTTTATAATATTAGTGGGTATTTGTGTATTATTATTGATTTAAAAATATTAGAAACTTTTAAAGAAAAGCTTCAAGGTATTTTTGCACTTAATTTTTTCTTTCCTTTTTTTTTTTAAGTAAAAGGGTAAGTAAAAAGTAAAAACTCTACAAGCCTAGGAGGGAATAAAAAAGGATCAAACAATAGCGCTGAAAAAGCTAGGGAATGTGTTTATTCAAATCAGAAAGCGTCATACAATCCCCTGCAGGTCTTCACTGTCCTGAGTAGATCAGAATTTTAATGTTTGATAGTGGGGGCAACATTTTTTTCTTTTTGGTTTGGTTAATGAAAGATGTAGAGGAATGTTTTATACGCAAGACACAAGTTATTTTTTTCCCAGAAAAAATGTTATTCTTTTTGGTTTAGTTAATGAAGACATAGAGGGAGCATTTTTTGCTCCTATTATTTTTTAAGGAGCGTTGAAGAGTTATGTGCGCGCTGTGTGTATTAATTAAACTATCATCATTTAGTTATTGCCTGCAAGGCTGCAACATTTGGTTTTATCATTCAGAGATTGGCTCTTTTTTTTGTTGGGGGGGGGGGGCGGTGGATGCAGACGAGAGAAATCTGTAATGGCTTTGTCATTTAGTTTATTTAAAATAAAAAGAGAGAAAAAGAAAACTATAGCCATTAAATACTATATTACCATATATGTCCTGAATCATGGCTTTTTCAAAAACATTGGTCATTTTCAATTCCTACAAGATTACTCTATATACTTCATTCTCCTTCCAACTTATTTTGGAAGTTTGAATGACGGGAGGTTTAGAAGCATTTTAATATCATTGGCCAGTACTTCACTTGCAGTTGCATCAATTAAAAAAAAAAAAGGAATCTTCTCGAGCACTTAGTTCTCCTTGGGATAGCTAGCTGGATAATTTCCTTGATGTTTCTGTTGTCCTTTTTCAATTTTTTTTTTTGGGCTTTCGCACCCAGCATTCTGATAGTGTTTGGGTATGCTGTATTCATTACTTACCCAATTCACTCCAAATTAATTTGAATCCCCACTTAGATGGGGCTCTTTTTAACGGGGTTTCGTGGGTATTACTGGTGAGACGTGATTTTGTTATATGTTTCAGGTTTTTTGATTTGGATTCATTTTTGTTTGTAATCATTCTGGTCTTTTGTGTGTAACAGTCTGACAACGCTCGGGCCTTTTATTGTTTTCATCGTTTTCCTTGTTTAATAATATTTGACTTTATATCCGAAAAAAAAAAAGTTCCGAATTGAATTGGATCTTCACTATTAAAATTTTCTAAAGTTTAAAATATCTCAAGATATATGATGAAAGTCATGATTTGAATATCAACAAGATCTAGTAAAATGAATTAGGGCTTGAATCCTTATATTTAGTGTTTTAGTTGTATCTGGAACATGATTGCTCGACTTAAAAATTAGTTTACACAACAATTTTTCAAAATAAAAAATAAGAATAAAACCAAAGAAATCATAAATTTGTCTTTTCTTGATGTTGCATTACTGTCTTCTCTTGATGTTGCATTAGCCTTATATATATCATTAAAAGGTTACAACAACAACAACAACAACAAGCCTTTATCCCACTAGGTGGGGTCGGCTACATGGATTGCAAGACGCCATTGTGCTCTATCATTTATTAAGCTTTTAGAAATATTATTAATTAAGAGATCACGTTCAACAACTTCCAAGAGTGTTCTCTTAGGCCTTCCTCTACCTCTCTTAATCGGACTCAAAGTTATATGTTCCACTCTTCTCACTGGTGCCTCCCTTGGTCTTCTTTGTACATGCCCAAACCATCTCAACCGATTTTCTACCATTTTTTCCTCAATAGGTGCCACCCTCACTTTTTCACGTATGTGCTCATTTCGAATTTTATCTTTACGTGTATGTCCGCACATCCATCGTAACATTCTCATCTCTGCTACTCCAACTTTATGCTCTTGCTGTCCCGTTAGAGCCCAGCATTCACTACTATATAACATTGCCGGTCTGATAGCAGTACGATAAAACTTTCCTTTAAGTTTATTAGGCACCTTACGGTCACAAATAACTCCTTTAGCTTTTCTCCAATTAAACCACCCAGCTTGAATTCTATGTGAAATATCTCCACTGATTTCGCCATCATTTTGGATAATGGCTCCCAAATATCTAAACTTTTCCACTTGAGGTATAATTTGATCTCCCAATTTTACTTCCAAATTATTTTCGAATAGTCCTTTATCAAATTTACAATATAAATATTCCGTCTTACTTCTACTCAGACGAAAACCTTTCGACTCCAATGTCCTCCTCCATAACTCAAGTTTGCAATTAACCTCTTCTCTTGTCTCTGCTATAAGAACTATATCATCCGCGAAGAGCATACATTTCGGGATTTCCTCTTGAATATGTTCCGTCAAAACATTTAAAATCAAGTTGAACAAATAAGGACTCAGAGATGATCCCTGATGTAGCCCAATCTTTATAGGAAAATCCTTTGTTTGACCACTAGGCGTTCTTATACTAGTTTTTACCCCCTCATACATATCTTGTATGGCTTTAATATAAGCAATCCGTACTCCCTTTTTTTCCAACGCTTTCCAAAGCACTTCTCTTGGTATACGGTCATAAGCTTTTTCCAAATCAATAAAAACCATGTGTAGATCTTTATCTTTACAACGATACTTTTCCATTAATCCCCTTAGTAGATAAATCGCCTCTGTAGTTGATCTACCTGGCATAAAACCAAATTGATTCTCAGAAATACTTGTCTCCAATCTCAACCTATGCTCAATTACTTTCTCCCACAATTTCATTGTGTGGCTCATGAGTTTAATCCCTCTATAGTTAGTACAATTCTGAATATCTCCTTTATTTTTATAAATAGGAATTAATGTACTTCTCCTCCACTCATCAGGCATTTTCTTGGACCGTAAAATCACATTAAATAACTTAGTTAACCATCTCACCCCTTCTTCACCTAAACATTTCCACGCTTCGATAGATATACAATCAGGTCCGTTAGCTCTACCATTTGCCATTTTCTTAAGAGCTTCCTTTACCTCCTTATCACGTATGTTTCGATAGAATGACAAATTTTGTTCTCCTTCACCAGTTACTAAATCCTCCAAGTTACTAGATGAATCCTCTCCATCATTGAAAAGTTTAGAAAAATAAGTCTCCCATCTATTTTTAATTTCATCATCTGTAACTAAAATTCTTCCCTCTTCATCCTTAATACACCTTACCTGTTCTAGATCTCTTGATTTTCTTTCCCTACTCTTGGCAATCTTATAAATATTTTGCTCTCCTTCCTTCGTCTCAAGGTTCTTATAAAATTCTTCAAAAGCTTTAGAACGAGCTTCACCCACAGCTCTCTTAGTTTCCTTCTTAGCCATACGGTACCTCTCCCAATTTTCCTCATTGTTACACAAATGTATGGCTTTAAAACAGTTCTTCTTATACTTGATTTTGTCCTGTACACTATTATTCCACCACCAAGACTCCTTATCTCTCGGACCAGGACCTTTCGATTCTCCCAAAACTACTTTTGCAACCTCCCGTATCTTTTTAGCCATATCCTCCCATATGATGTTAGCACTTCCCTGAGAATCCCAAATTCCTTTATCCAAAAGATTTCGCTTGAAAATATCTTGCTTCTCACCTTTTAATTGCCACCACCTAATCCTTGGTGTTACTACTTGTCGACGTTTTTGGATTTTACTCATAATACACACATCAAGGACTAGGACCCTATGTTGTGTCGTTACAGCATCTCCAGGGATCACCTTACAATTTTTACAAAGTTTTCTATCTGTGTTCCTAACCAAAAGAAAATCAATCTGCGACCTTGAGGCTCCACTTTTGTAGGTGATGAGATGCTCATCTCTCTTCTTGAAACAAGTATTGGCAATCTTAAAATCATACGCCAATGAGAAATCAAGAAGAGTTTGCCCTTCATTGTTTAGCTCTCCAAAACCAAAACCACCATGCACCCTCGCATACTGACCAGCTTCCCTCCCGACATGCCCATTAAAGTCTCCTCCAATAAAAATCTTTTCACTCTGTGGTATGTGTCGAATCAACCCCTCCAGATCCTCCCAAAATAATTCCTTAAGACTGGCTTCTGTCCCGACTTGCGGCGCATAAGCGCTAACAATATTAACAGTCTCACGTCCAATTATCATTTTTAAAGAAATAATTCTGTCTCCAATTCTGCTAACTTCTACAACGTTCTTCTTCCACTCCTTATCTATAATGATGCCTACTCCATTGCGTGCACTTACTTTTCCTGTATACCAAAGTTTGAAACCTTGAATATCCTTAGCTTCTTCTCCACGCCATTTTGTTTCTTGCAAGCAAAGGATATTGATTTTCCTTTGAATCATAACCCCTACAACCTCTACAGATTTACAATTTAATGTCCCAACATTCCAAGTACCAAATCTAATTTTGCTCTTATGGACTAACTTCTTTAGCCGCGTGCGTCCAGAATGACGCGGTAGCCCTTGCTCATTTAACACTACATCCGGGCGCCGATGCAGCGGCTCTAACTCACTTATCACTGTACTCGAGCCATGCAGCGCGTTACTTACGGGCAACGACCTAGCATTAACATTATAACGTCTATTGTCCATGTTCATGATAGATTCAACAAATTTTTACATTGGCTGTTGATGGCCTAACACAACCCTCCTCCTTTACCCGGGCTTGGGACCGGCTATAAACATAGGCGGAGTTATATCATTAAAAGGTTCTTTTATATAAATTATGAAACATAGAAACTATAGAAAAGGAGTCACAAACAGTATCTCATTTGTCCAAGACAACCGAGTAATCATCACAAACAGCAAAATCATATTCATAATTAGAAAAGCTAGAAACTAAAATGCAGCTGGCACATCAAAACTGCAAAACCCTTTGCTTCGGGCTTCGGGCAAATAATGCATTACAATGCGACTCCATATGACATGACACCTTACTTTGTACAAGCACCTTCAACTGCTACACATTATACTTCCATTCATACAGTAGACTATCTTTGCAAAGTAGAAGACATTTGAACAAAAAACCAGAATGGTTATTGAACCAATCAAGATATGAGTTCAAAGATTAATAGTTAAAATCATAGTCAAACATATTCAAACAGGCCAAAAAACAAAACATTTTAATAAGTTAATCAAGACACTAATTTAACGGTTTGACATTCCAACCATGTAGATTGACCCCATACTATATTGCAGCCTGTAGAAATAAAGGCAGATAAGTGTAAAATGGCACTAAAAAACCAATGCATTCTTTTTTTAATACTGAAATTCTAGCTACATCATACCGGGCAAAATTGATCCTATCAATTTGAGAATGATCATTGGTTTACAAGTTGAATAAATTAACGATTCTACATAAGCAAATGGACACTTCTGGCTAAATTTCAGCCATCCTTCAAGTCATTCTCTTCCATCACCTTTTCTTTTCCTAATCGCTTACCCATTAACATAATCACTAATTTCGATTAGTATACTATGATAATAAACTGAAATCCATTTCATAATGGATGGACTTGATATTCGTCATCAACTTGTCTAACATAGTGTAAATTTCATCCTTCTGTGGATGCTGTTCATCTCCAGCATGAAACTTATGGACCACACCTCTCACGAAAATCCAACTATATCCTGGTTCCTTTTTCACGCCTCGTTCTTTCATAACATCTCTCAAGCTAACCCCATCTTCATATAGACCTGATTCCATGTATGTATTGGACAGAAGAATATAAGCAGCAGGATACTCTGGCTTAGTGGATAGAATATTTTGAGCAGCAATCTCCCCAAGCTCTGCATTTCTGTGGACCCTACAAGCTCCTAACAATGTCTGCCAAATCATCACATTGGGCTTAATTGGCATCATCCCTATGAACTCCATTGCCTCATTTAACCGGCCAACACGACCTAAGAGATCAACAACACATGCATAGTGTTCCATTTCTGGTACCACACCATAGATATCCTCCATTTGATGGAAAAAGTTCAGACCTTCCTCAACCATTCCTCCATGACTACAAGCAAAAATAACACATAATAATGTAACAGCATTTGGCTTGGCACTGCATTGCACCATCTTCCTAAAGAACTGAAGGGCACCTTTAACAAGACCATGTTGAGCATAAGCTGATATTATGGCAGTCCATGTAACTGTGTCAGGATTAGAGATCCTTTCAAATACCTTCTTTGCATCAACTAGGTTACCGCATTTGGCATACATGTCAATTAGAGCACTTTCAATGCATGCTTCAGTAACCAGGCTGGCCTTGCATATCAATCCATGAATTTGCTGACCAAATTCTAATAAACAAAGACCAGCACATGCAGTGATCACAATAGAAAAGGTGAAATCATTGGGGACGTAGCCTTCTCTGCGCATCTGTGAAAAGATGATCAAGGCTTTCTCCCACTCAGAAAATTGACAATATGCAGTCACCAAAGTAGTCCAGGACACTATATCTTTCTCTTCCATTCTATCAAATAGCATCTCTACATCTTCAAGTGACTCACATTTGGCATATGCATCAGTGAGGGCATTCAATGTACTAATTTTCATCACATCATGTCCATATTTCCAAGCCACAGCATGAGCCTCCCTTAAGAATTTCGGATGCTTCAAAGCAGCAATGGAGTTGAACACACTACAAAATGTGTAAATATCTGATTTGACATCATTTTGACGCATTCTTGTGAACAAGTCCAAAGCTTCATGGTGAGAACCAGATTGTGAATAACCTGCTAACATTGCATTCCAAGGTGTGCTAATTTGACAAAATCTGAACTTGGAGTCAAAAAGAAACTGAGCATCAGTTAGAGACCCACACTTAGCGTACATATCAATCAGAGCAGTTCCAACTACAGTATTGGAATCCAATCCCCATTTAGATGCAAATCTATGAATTTCATGACACTTGTTAACATTGCCTAACTGCCCAACAGCCTTGGAAACACTAATGAAGGTCAAGTTATTTGGTGTGATCCTTGATTCAACCATGTCAGTGAAGCAATCAAAGGCTTCTGCATGCATACCATTAGAGGTATATCCTGAAATCATAGCATTCCAAGAAACAACATTAAGTTCTGCCATGGTTTGAAACACCTTAGATGAACTCTCAATCTTCCCTAACTTTGCATATGAGTTGAGAAGCGATGTACTAACAACCGTATGAGTTAGAAAACCTCTTATAACAACATGGGCATGCACCATCTCAACCAACTCAATGAAACCTAAGCCAGCACATGACTGTAAAACAGCCGAAAAGGCAAACCCATCAGGCAAGACTCCTTGTTCCAGCATCATAGAAAAGAGCACTATTCCATCAAAATAATAACCATGTTCATTTGATGCAACTATCATGACTGTCCAAGAGAATACATTTCTCTGAGACATACCATAAAACACCCTATGAGCAGCATCATAATCCATGCAATTTGAGTACACATGCATTACATGATTTAACAACACTAAGCAATCCTGGTCTGAGAATTTTGACTTTAAGACATACCCATGAATAGACTTAGCCTCTTGGAGTAACCCCCATTCCTCACAAACTTTCAAGAGATCAACAAGTGATGTCCGTTGATGAGTTTCAAATGGGCAACTAATGTCATCAACTTGATCGATGATTAGAATAGAATTGTCAGGGTTGCAAAGTAATTTCAAATCTGCAACACAATAGATGAAAAGTCAAATACAAAACAATTGTATACCGTTTTCAACCAAACATGTTTAAAAGGTGATTCCTTATCTGGACAAAATCTTTGAAAGTACTAATAAGAGGATGAAATGACAGTTTCTAGGTATTTATGGATTTTGGGTTGGTTCTGGATACATACACCTAAAAGGCATTGATGACATTGACACATGAAAACAAGAAGTTTTAAAAGATAAGAGCATACTCTTAGAGTCATTGCAAGAAGCTCCTTTACCTGCTACCATAGAACCTACAGGGAGTCAGGGAGTCAGAGAGACAGACCACAAATAGAGTTTATTACTCAGGCTCAGTAAAAGTGCAGAATTTATTTTAAAAATAAAAAAAAAAGAACAAGAAGAAGAAGCTTCAAAAAAACACCCTGGAAAACGCCCAGGGTGGAAATGACAACCTCCAACTACATATTCAAATGATTAAAGATGATAAAAGCTTGTCATTCAAAAGAGTTGCACGCATTATATATTTGATCCCAACACAGTTATAATCCCAGCAAGTTGTTCCACAAAAACTAAACCAAGAGCCCTGTCCTTCCTAGCTAGAACATAGTTATCATCCAAATAAGTTGTTCCACAAAATGAGGAGCCATTTTGTCCCTACCTGAAGAGCTTCTCAACCACCCAAATTTTTATTAGAATTTTCGGCCATTTAGAGTTAAAATTCTATTTCAAGGCTCCAATTTAATTCATACCTAGGGAAACAGCAGAAGGGAGGGTAACTTCTTACTAGATGGCCCTAAAGCATTTATTCTGATCCAACTGTTTTATCAAATAATGTCCTTTTTTCTGCTAATAATTATTAGAGAAAAGGAAATAAGAAAACTCACAACTAAAATGCCACCTGCTTTTGCAGCACGTACAGCATCCGATGCCACTTCCGCACTATATGTCAGTGAAAAACATAAAAATGAGCCGATAATAGTTTTGGAATTTACCTCAATATTGACACTCTAATAAAAGTCAAACTCTATAAATAAATATTGTCATCAGAACAAGAGAAACAAACATAGTAAGAACTCAGCAGAAAAAATAACTATCCTTTCTGACTCCACCTTGTATAGAAACCAGGCTATCCTGGCCTCACAAGTTACATGTGGACTCCAAATCAAAAATTAAAACCACCACAGTGAAAACTGGAAGTATGCTACACTCACTCACACACATCCATAGAAGTGGTCATCAAGAATTTAAATTCTAGACTTGCTTTCAACATGCTTGATCTGTTCCAATAGCAGTAAATTAGGAAGTATATGATTTTTTAAGAGAAGTGCATGGATTGCAATAATGATTGTAGAAAAATTAGTTAGGAATAGTCACGCATGATTTTAACTACCAATTTGAATCAATATAGAAGGGGAATTAAGAATTCACCACCAAAACAACAAACATCAAAAAATATAAAACCCCAAAAATAAAAAGTCACCAGGGATATGCTTCTTTACAAAGCAAAAAGTGGATGCCAAAAGGTGCAACCTACCTAAGTATCAAAACTCAAACTACAAGGAAGACCAAAAAAAAAGGGAAAATAAATCAATCAACAATCAAACAAGTTAAAGTTTAGCCCAAAATACTTATCATAATTCTGCAAAAAACAAAAAATAATAAAAAATAAAAACTCACATAAAAACATAGAAAATATGAGGACAGAAGGATGATAGATACCTGTTGGCACAGAGACAAGATATGGCTCTAGAATTCTGGATCTGGCGAAGGGTTTTGTCAAATGAGTATAGAAAAATTTTAGGCTGACGCAGTGGGCATGAAACCAGAGCCGGATGAAATGGTGGAGGAAGCAGAGATAATGAAGAGCATACTATGCCTAAAGAAGGAGAAGAAGGCCATCCGCAAGTTCCCATTTCCACTGCTTTCTCTGCCTCTCCACTGAACAAAGCAAGAACAGCCACGCAGGGAACAAATTCAAATCTAAATTCAAAACCCGATCGAACAAATCAATCTCACTGGATTTTCGAACCTTCTTCCCAGTTTTCCAGAGAAAAACCACGCAGGGCTGACAACGGTGGACGGCGTCCGACGGAGTATGGGATGCTTGTTCGTCGACGAGAACAGGACCCGCTTCTCATGAGAATGGGTTTTATCGGAGTTATAATTTATATTAGGGAGAAAAACGAAATTGGTATACATGTCCAAAATTAATTACTCTAAATAATAAAATTTATTTATTAATTTATATTTAACTCTGTAGTATTAAAAAATTCTTTTATATCAAATAAGATTTTTACCGGAATTTTTATAAAACTCTTGGATAAATTAAAAATACTTAACTGTGTAAATTTAAAACATTAAATCATCTATGTGTGTGTTTGAGAGAGATATTTTATTGAGCTTAAATATTATTTGTTATGGTATTTATTTAATAATAATAATAATAATAATATTCAAATTATTCAGATAAAGATGATTAGAACTCATTATCTTTCAACTAAAAAATGGATAAATGTTAGTTTATCATAAAGTTTTAACTTTCAAATGCCCCTCAAAACACTCCACGCACACACCATCTCCTTTTAAAGAGAAGCATGACTAGAGAACTGAGATTTACTATCCTCACTTGCTTTCTTTCTTTTGTTACATTTTTCAGCATTGAAACTTTAATCTTTTTACTTTGCGAATGGAGCATCATCATCTTTTTGACTCTTCCTCAAAATATCATAGTCACACGTCATCACCTCCACGTGATTCTTTATCTTCACTCCGACTTGATGATACTTCTAAGTCAAAACCTACCTATGCTGCGATTCTTGCTAAGCCATTGCCATTAGCATTGGTGACTGTGGTTGAAGCTGAACTTTCGTCAGCTTTTGCTCCTTCTCTATCAATGAACGATTTTAAGAACCCTATGAAGGAGAGTCTGAAACTGTCATCAAGGTTATCCAATGATTTGGTTGATGGATCATCATCATCTTTGCTTCTAATTCAGATTTGTTTTATTTTCATTTTTTGTATCTTATCATGTATAATTTTAGGGGCTACTGACTTCTAATATATCTTTTTCTAATATCTTTTATAATGTTTCAATTTTTTATGTAAAATATTATAATATTTATTATTTTATGTAGAAGACACGGATTCATAAAGGAAAAGAAAAGAAAAATGAAATTGAAAAATTTGAAACATTACAAAGTATATTAGATAAGAACATAGTTAAGACTCTTAACTCATAATATTGAAATAAACTTAAAATATTTTAATATTTTAATTGCTGATCATATACAGAAACCTCAAATCACAATAATACTCGAAGGTTTTCTAATAACATTCTTTCACAGCATAATGGAATCAATCAAAGTTGGAACACTTATAGGAGTTTTCATGGAAGAGGTATGCATATGCCACATGCTGAGATTGTAAACCAAGTTGATTGCTATTTCAGGTATTGCATGCCTTTGATTCAAATGCCTATATAAAACTTATTTTAAAATCTAACCAATGATGTTGGCTTTGTTTCAATCCAATATATCTTTCAAAAGTTAGACACTCAAGTGCATTTTGATCATTTTAAGTCAAAATTTGCCACTTGAGCATCTCCAATTAAAACCAAAAGTTATTAGTCACTTCTAAGGCCTTGACTACATCTAAATAGATAATACATACCTAATTGACCAATCACATAGACAATATTGCACACATACTCACAATTAGCCTATAAACTGCACATATCATACTTTTTAGGCAAAGTTACATTTTCATTTAACTCACAACCAAGGCTAAATTTCATAATGCACTTCACACATTTATCATATCTTCACACAATACCCTCCATCCACTAGTCCACGTTATCATTCCATCACATACACACGTATACACAAGGCCAGGGACCCAAAACCAACAAACACAATATTTACCACATTATGCACATGTTTTGAATCTTAAGGCAATTTATACACATTCATAACTAATAACAAACAAGTTCATCACAACAAATCATTACAAAGGCTTTAATGAGATATCTCAACTCAGCCAATATCTTTCCCCTTTCAACTATTAGTGCTAGAACTTGAAAAATATAAATAATCATGGGTGAGATAAAAATTTCAGTAACCAATATAGTTCGTTAAATGTCTGTTATCACAAATAACTATGCAAAGTAATAAAACTAAGGTAATATCAAATATATATCAAAGTATGAAGAAATTTCATATTTTTAAAGTATTTTCACATAAATACACATTAGCATGATCATTTAGCCACCAAACCTTAATACTCCTCGAAACAAAATCATAGGCTCTATTGAATTAATTACTCAGTAATCCGAACACACTTTCAATGGTAGAAACACTCGACTAAAGGTAATCTAATCCACCTATGGACTATGATTTTTCTCTTTACATACTTGTGATAGAGATATTGTTGACTCCTAATCAAACTCTAATGGGCACCAAGGAGTTGCTAGATTACCTAGATGTCCTATGGTAACAGTCCCATAGTATGCTATACCGAATTACCTATGTTAACAGCTTGTATAATGCTGCACCGGATGTCCCATGGTGCCAGCATGACCATATGGATTTTTCACTCACATATCAACACATACACATCTCCATATATCCCTGTTAAACTGCCACCCCTTATGATCATGCCTTTTTTATGCAATTCACTTCTTTTCCACATTTGCACACCATATACCTTTGTAACACATATATATATATATATATATACATTCATTAATTCAAAGCTAAAAGTTCTCAAACTTTCTTTTCATAAATCTATTTCATGCTAAACTTGTTTTCAATACCAAAACCATGCATAAAATCTAGCCAAATCACAGTTAAACAATTACTTTTACACAATTATAATAGTTAATAAACATAATAAACTATATGGTTACCTTAACCCTTCTATTTACTAAAAAGGTTTACCCATGTTCCAACAACTCTGTTCAAGCTCCTCTTCTTAATTAGCATATCACACGTTAGAATTTATACAATTTAAGCACGCAGAGTCAATAACTCTATTAACAAAAAGTGATAATTACATCAATCTAACACCTAATCACTATCACTTCCACAATTCACATTCGCTCACACATAATACTTAACGATCACTCACTACAAGCAGTATCTTCCTCACAAACACCTCTCTCACTATTCTCTTTAGATTAAGGCAAATTGTGCTTATAGCTTCAAAACTTTATCGTTCCAACTCAAATCAGTCATAAAGTACTAGTTTAGTTTTGAAGAACCTTTCTATTACTATAGGGTAAGAAATTAACTCCTTGAAACTTTTGAATTTGATTTCTCACTAGTTAAAACTAAAAAAAATAGGGTAGAATCACAGGTTAAAGTAGTATGAGACTTACCTAATAAGTAACAAGTTGAAAATTTCATACTTATGCCCGAAACTTAATGCCCTAACACAGCTTGGACTCTTCTCCATGCCTGACCCTCTTTTCTTTATTCCTTCTTTTGTTTACACGAATTGGACACATCCTTACTTATCAGAGTTCTGCACCATACACTACAGCGCTTCCACCCTCTGCATTGGCATGTGGCATAGTGAGGGAAATCCTTACTGCACTCACACGCTTTGCTTCGAAACTCCACTCTTTCACTCATGATGTTCATACAACACCCCAAAGAGTTAATATAACACTTCACTATCTAGAACCCTAATCACCCATTAAATCACTAATCCATTCTATAATCAATAATTAATACAGGATTAGAAATTTAGGATGTTATAAATATCCCTTATGGATACCTTTAGAAGCATATGCGATATTTCTTTCATGATATGTGACTAATCTTCAATGAAATGCAACTTTCTTCCATATATTCGAATATCACTTATACATATTCGAATATCCCTTATTAATTTTCCTTATAGATACCTTTAGAAGCATATGCAATCTTTCTTCCAAGATATGCGACTGATCTTCAATGAAATACAAATTTCTTCCATATAGTCTAATATCACTTATATGCATATTAAAATAAATGAAAGCCAATTTGCATTTTATTGAAGGGTTCTTGAATATTGTGGAAAAAGAGTCACATATGGTTGAAGAAACATGCATATTGTCTTAAAACATAACACTAAGTGTACATTTCAAGACATTTGAAATGCATATTCGAATAAATGGAAGCCAACTTGCTTTTCCTTAAAGGTGTTTGCATATCGTGGAAAAATGGTCTCATATCATTGAAGATACTTTCCTATTATCTTAAAACATGATACTAAGTGTAAATTTTTAAGAAATCCAAAATGCATGTTCAAATAAATGAAAGCAAAATTGCATTTCCAAGATATACACTCTCATATTCTAGTAAATTGAGGGTTAGAAGTTAAACATAGCCTCTATCACCCCAATTTTTAGAAATATTAATAGTCAAACATTAACTACTCCACTCCAAGAAAAAAAATGAGAAATTTAGTAAAAAAAAGACAAGGGAAAATTGCTAAAAAAGACCTCACCACAAATTTATTCACCTATAAGGACTTGTGACATATTTCAAATGAAGGTCCTTTGCTATCAATAATTGTTGAGGGCTAAATGACAAACATGTCCTTACTAATAAAAAGAAAGCAAAAGTTAAGCAAGGTCCTTCGTTGTCAATATTTCACACAAAGTCCTTTGCTATCAATATGTCACTAGGTCCTTCGCTGTCAATAATTTTAGTGTCAATATGTCAAACAAGATCTTTATAAAAATAAAGTTTTCCATGACAGATAAACACTCTTTAAGGAAATGAAATATAGCTTTCATAGCTTCGAATATCAAATTTCATATCTAAAAAATTATATCTTGGTATCAAATTTTTAAGATGAAATTTTCAAGATATGCAAATTACATATCCTAAAAATTATATCTTGTGTTAAATTTTTAGGGTGCAATTTTCAGGATATGCAAATCATTGCATATCCTAAAAATTGCAATTTTTAGGATATGCAATTTGCATATCTTGAAAATTTTGTTTTGGTATCAAATTTTTACACTGAATGCAATTTAACTTTAAAGGCTCCCTTTAACATCTAATGATGAAATTTTTAGGATATGCAATTTGCATATCTTGAAAATTTTGTTTTGGTGTCAAATTTTTACATTGAATGCAATTTAACTTTAAAGGCTCCCTTTAACATCTAAAGTGCAAAAGTCTAATTTAATTTCCTTGTCGTTTTAAAGAGAACTGTAACATCTCAAAATTTAAAATAAGATTAATTAAAATTTATAAAGGGTAAGGTGAATTAATCTAGGTCCTAATTTGATTAATTAGAGTAATTGAATAGCCTTTGGGTCTATTGGACCTTTTATGAGGCTTAGAAGGGGACTATAGGAGCTATTAGGCTCCTTTGGGTCCAAATTAATGGGCTTAAGTAGGGTTCCCAAAATATACCATTTGTTGCGACGGACAGTGCCTATGGCTTGGCAAACTCATTAGATTTTTAAATTCGAGAGATGCATTTTAGACAATAAAATGGGAAGAAATTGTGATAGAGAACATAAGAAAAAGGGTGGAGCTCCGTTAGGGTTTGCCAATGAAAGTTCTTGGAGGTATTTTCAAGCCATCTAATCCTTGGACAAGGTTCCTCTTTCACTCTTCCTCCTTCTTAATTCTTCTTAGGAGTTTCTAGTTATGGGAGTTGCTATGCACAATGGTAGCCACAATTTACTTGCTCTAATGACTCCAATAGAGTCTAATAAGGGTTATTTAAGTTTCTAATCCTTAGATTTTGTTAATGAAAATGATTAGAGTTGTTAATACAAGGTTTAAAGTTAACCTTGATGCTATAAAACTAAGTTTAAGCTAATGAGGTTAGCTAACATTGTTTGTTAAGCCTAATGGAAGTTAAATAAGCTAATGGAAATGAGTTTTGGGATTGATTTTGCTTAATCACGTTTAATGAGGGTTTAACGCTTTAACTGTGATTAAGGCTAATTAATGACGATTAGTCATTAATGATGTCTATTGATCTTAATATGTAGATTGATTGCTTTAGAGCTCATTAGGCTTGTTGGGAAGCTCCTTTGGAATCCAAATTATACTTTTAGGGTGGTAGCCTAAAGGTTGAAGTACTAGAGTTAAATTTTTGTAGATAATTATTATTTGTAATTATGAGCTATATGTTATTGATTGCAATGAATTTAATTATATGAATATGCAAGCATGTTGGTATTGATGATTGAATTGTAATATGTGCTTAAGTGAATGCTTGGTATTATGATAAGCATGAGCATATGATTATGGCATGAGATTGCTTATGTTTTCTTGACTTGATAGCATGCGCTTGATTATGAGATAAGTTAATCAAGTTTGTATTGTAACATGTCATTAAATAAAATAAATATGTTGCATGATCATAGAGTTCACCTCGAAAATTTGAGAAGGGGGAATCCATAATGTAAGTGGAGAGTGGGTACGTTGGCCAAGTAATGTAACATCTTAAAGTTTTAATTTGAGATTTTATTAAAACTTATTAGGGTAAATTAATAAAATAATTTAGCTTATTAGGTTTCTAGGTTTCCCAATCACTAATAGACCTATTAGTTCTATTGGATAGCTTTAAAGTCAAGTTAAGATGGCTATAGGTTCAATTGGGCCTAGAAGAAGGCCCAAAATCATGGACCCTAAATTTGTGCCATTCGCCGTGGTGAGCGTCCCTATCTACCGTGATGAACAGACAGATTCATTAAATCTATCATGAGTTGCTTGCAATAAAAAGAAGAGGAGAAGCAATTGGATAAGGGTAATGGAGAACACATATGGATCTGCTAGGGTTGGCTTGGTTAATCATTTAGTAGAAATCTAACCTTGGAAACACTAAGGTAATGCCTTTCTTCCCTCTTTTCTCCATTTACCCGTGGTGCATTATTGTTTTTGGTGAAAGGGGATGATGATTTTGCCTATTTAGGTGGTTTGGCCGAACCTATGTTTTTTGTTTAGATTATTGAGAGTTAATTTAAGGTTTTATACTTATAGTTGGTGAGTTTATATTGTTTTAGAGTTGGGATCTAGGGTTTAGACCAACCCTAAGCTAAATTTGGGACTTTTGGAGCAATGTGGGGTCTAAACTAATGTTATTTGGCTTCATGGAAGCTAAACGGAGTTAATGGATAATTGTTAAGGTGTTGTTTTAGCCAACAATAAAGATTAGAGATTGCGGGCAGCTTAATTAAGTTGGGTAATGCTTATATTAGAGCTAAAAATTAATGATTAGCATTTAATTGTGTAGATTTATAGTATTCGGTGTTTGCTTGAGCTTGTGGAAGCTTGATAAATGTGGTAACTACATGGGCAACTCTTTTCAATAATAAAAAGGTAAAGGTAATCAGATAGTATACTTTGCTAATTAACTTGTTAAAGCATATATAAGGTTTTATAAACATGAAATTATATTTATGGACAAGTATGCCGGTGCTGGATTGTTTTAGAACTCGTGTGAAGTGGGAAATTGGTTTTGAAAATAATAATTTTATTCTAATGCTTATTTGTGTATAACCATGAATGTGGTATTATGACAACAAATGGATACTGGCATGTGATGTCGATGCATTGATTATATTGACTGTGTACAAGCATGAACAAAACACCCTTATATGTGTGATATGGATTAAGGCAACAAGGGGTTGCATGATTGTGATTATATGATGTGGATCACAGCAACATGTGGTTGCATGGTCTTGCATGTGAGGGTAGGAGATTCATCCTAGGTGGAGTAAAATAAAACCATATAGTATATCCCGACATTGTTTGTGGCCCCAATGCCACCTCTCCATCAATTTGAGGCGGCAGATGATTAAAATAACAAAAGTCCTCCTAGTAATATAACCTAGTCTAGCTAAGAAATCCACAGTATAGTTATTAGTTCTACAATGAAAAGATAACCGAACATTCGAATTCTAGAGAAGTAAAACTTTGGTTTGATGAATGACATCTAGGAAAAGATGGTCTGGGTTGGTGCCTTGAGTCAAAAAATTGAAAGCCTGCAAACTATCAGTGTAGACATAGACTTCACGAAATCCCCTCTGCCAGCATACTTGCAGTCCCTTAAAAATGCATATTTGATTCTTAGACTTATCAATTTTGATTTAACATATTATTTTATTTTATATTTATTAAAATAAAATTATAAAATAATTTTAATAAATTTTTTATTTTTAATTGGTCTAGACTATACAGAGTATATCTGAATAGTCAATATACAACAATTATAATAATTTTAATATTAAATTAGATCTTTAAAATTAAATTCAGACCCAATTAAAAATAAATTTTTTTATTAAAATCATTTTATAATTTCTTAAATTTTTATTTTAATAAATATAAAATAAAAATACATAATAATACATTAAATTTGAACTATTTAAATTAAAATTTGAATGACCTAAATCTCATGAGGATGATAAAAGGCCAAAAATACGTAAATATCAGCAACAGTGGGTGTCTTTTGGAAAACCCAGAGATACAGGCACCGTAGTGGTCCCTGATCACTGCTCCACACGGGCTTCTTTTGCTCTGGTAGGACGGATCCATCCACTTCAAGTCTGAATGAGCCTTTCGCAGTTGTTGGGAATCTGTATATTCCAAGAGAGTTCGTTTTTCCAAAGAAGGAATGGGAGGCCCAGCCAACTCCACACACACAGGCACGCACAAATACACAACACACACTCCTTACCAAAAGGGGGAAAAAAAAAAAAAACACACACACACACACACACAACACACGCTCATACATGAGGATGGCAATGGATTGGCCCCCCTCAACATATACGCGTGTTCGCTCCTGTCCACAATAATTAAAAAGACTTCATCCTTCATTCCAAAAATTGAGATTTTTTTTTTTCATGTTAAATTAAACCACTACGAAGGCTACACCATGAATGCTTGAAAGAAACAGAGAATTCAGATCTGTAGTTTCACGAGTGACAGACAGCCATGGGTGAAGCTCCCTTGCACATAGCTATGTTCCCTTGGTTTGCCATGGGGCACCTAATCCCATATCTCCATCTCTCCAATAAATTAGCTAAAAGAGGTCATAGAATTTCCCTCATCATCCCCAGAAACACACAATCCAAGTTACTCCATTTTAATCTCTACCCACATCTCATCACTTTCTTCCCCTTCACTCTGCCTCGCTGTGATGGCCTTCCTCACAATGCAGAAACAACTTCTGATGTTCCTTTCTCTTCGATCTCACTTCTCATGACGGCCATGGATCGTACTGAGAACCACATCCAGCAGCTCCTCCTTCAGCTAAAGCCACAAATCATTTTCTTTGACTTTGTATATTGGCTTCCTAACATGGCTCGCAGACTAGGAATCAAGTCTCTTCTATACTTGATAGTTAACCCCGCGACTGTAGCTTACGCATGTTCCCCTGAAAGGATGCTTCAGGGAAGCAAGTTGATCGAAGCAGATCTCATGAAACCTCCTTCGGGATACCCTTCTTCTTCCATCAAGCTTCATCCACATGAAGCAAAATTCCTTAATTGGAAAATAACATCATTTGAATTTGGAAGTGGGGTTCTCTTCTACGATCGTTTATATAGTTGTTTGACGCAAACAGATGCTATAGCATTCAAAGGCAGCACAGAAATTGAAGGCCCCTTTGTTGACTACCTCGGAAACCAATTTCGGAAGCCCGCTCTGCTTTCCGGACCTGTTATTCCCGAGCCACCCACGCTTGGTTTAGAAGAAAAATGGGCTAAGTGGCTCGGAGAACTCAAGAAAGATTCTCTGGTGTATTGTGCACTTGGAAGCGAATGCATGTTAGAGAAAAACCAATTCCAAGAATTGTTGCTTGGTCTTGAGCTGACGGGATTTCCATTTTTAGCGGTACTGAAGCCACCAAGTGGATTTGAGTCAGTGGAAGCAGCCATGCCTGAAGGTTTCAAGGAAAGAGTTAAAGAGAAAGGGATTCTTTATGGAGGATGGGTTCAGCAACAAGCGATCTTGGGTCATCCAAGTGTAGGTTGCTTCGTAACACATTGCGGGGCAGGATCTCTAACAGAGGCATTGGTGAATAAGTGTCAGATTGTGCTGCTTCAACATTTGGACACAGATCATATAATGAATGCAAGCTCAAACTTGAAGGTTGGGGTTGAAGTGGAGAGAGGAGGAGAAGATGGATTGTTCACCCGAGAAGGTGTGTGTAAGGCTGTGAGGAGCGTGATGGATGATGAGAACGAGGTTGGGAAAGAGATCAGAGAAAACCATGCAAAGTTGAGAAGCTACTTGTTAAGCGAGGATTTGGAATCTTCTCATGTGGACAGTTTTTGTGAGAAGCTGCGTGATTTAGTGAAGTAATTTCTTGGTTCCATCTTCAACTTCGGCTTTTGAATATATCTTTCATGTTTGCTTTCTAAATATTGGTTCTATTCTTTTCTGCATTCCCCATTCAGTGGCGAGACGAGAGAGCGAGTTCAACGAGATCGGAGCCTACCGGTGATGAGAGGGCAAGAACGGCAATGAGAGGGATTTCAAAACCCGAAGGGTACGAGGCGAGAACAAGAAGTTTCAGTACCGAGGGTTTTCTTTGAGCTGTTTATATGGCAAGCTATTCCTGCATTCAATTATTTTGGTTGAGTTCTTTATTTGATTGTTGGTTTCTCAGACCGCTTAGAACAGAGGCTACTCCCTGGTTTCGATGACTTGGCAATTTTTGGACATGGTACACTGCTTCTATAATTCTAATTGGAATACTGCAATTTTTCAGCTTATTGATGCAGAAACGATAGGAAAATCAGCAATATAAGATTGGAGAAGCAACAAATGGAGGATTAAATCATTCAAAAAAAATAAAATCGAGCATTTACTGATATAGCCTATAAGAATGGGATGAAGAAGTACAAACCCAGGAGGCTAGGAGCATTAATTTACTAAATGTTTAATTCCAAAGTTATTCGGCACCATTGATGAGATTAGTTAGTACACCTAGCAAGGTGTCTTGTGCTCCTTCCGTTCTCGCTCCCATCCTATCCTCACAAGGGCATTGGCAGGATAGAAATCAGGAGGGAGGAGCAGGAGACAATTTGCTCCCGACTACACAGCTTCAATTTTGTCACATTGTGCATGCAATGAGAGAAAGAGAGGATTCAATGACCGTTTGGATTTCAATTTATATATAGTAAAAATATATTTAAGAGATTCAATTATTTATTAAATTTGAAAAAAATACATTTCAAATATGATTTGAATGTATTTTTGAAGGTTACTCAAATGGCCCTTAATCTGAGCAGAGGGTCTCTCTCTTTTTTTTTCTCTCCTTTTATCTTCACTTCCCTAATCCTCACCCTTAATTAATTTTGTAATTTAAAAAATTATTTAATAAAATAATATGGATGATAAAGATTGAGGAAATGGAGGAAAAAAGGAAGAAAAGAAAAGGAGAGACTTCCTCCCCAAAATACTGAATCCTGGATCCCCTGCATGTCAGGGATTTTATTTCTAAGACTCTAACTATTACTATTTCTTTTTGGGTATAATATAAGGCATTTATAATTCACGGTTTTAAAAAAATTAAGTAAAACTTTAATCTCTTGAAAGTATAAGTGTTTTAATAATAATTCTAATACTTTTTTTTTTCAAAAAAAAGAGTAATGAATAAAGTAAGGATATGATTGAAAAAATAAATGTTAAAGAGCATTTTGGCCACTCATTTATTTATTAAAAAATGTTTGGTATCTTAAATTTACATATAGTATAGTATCACTTTAACTTTTGAAAATAATGTATTTGACATTTTGTTGTTAAAAAAAGTTAACTCTAAATGTTAATTGACTTAAAAATTACATAAAAAGACTCAAAAATTCACATATAAATACCCAATGGGAAAATAAAATCTATTAGGTCACTAAATCATTAGGTCACTTAATCGTACATAAATTAAAACTATTAGGTCACTAAATTGTATATAAATCTAGGATATAAATGTTATTTCTTATCCATGAAAAATATCATAATGCAATTTTAAATAATTAATAAAGTTCATTAAATATACTATACAATCTTTTTTTTCAAAATAAAAATATAAAATTTAAAAAATATCATTAATTTAATAATCTATTTGTGAAAGAATATTAAAAAAAAATATAATAAGAAGAATAATATTAGAAAAGCATCATTCATGAAATTTTATTTTTGTCAAAATATCTTATTTTAATCAAAAATAGTATTATTTTTTCTAAGTATAAGACATATAGGTTTCGCCAACAGTAGAGAATATTTCCAAGAGGTAGTAAGAGCAACGGGTAAATCTTTCACAACTAAATTATTATATACACAAGATTTCCAACCATTTACTTAAATAATGAACACTTCTACTGATTATAAACTTTAGTTGGTAGAGTGACATGGTAGATCTGGAAATGAAAATAATTATAAAAATATACATGTTTTATCCATTTTTTTTAAAATAAGAGTGTTTATCTATGATGAATTTTCTTAATGCAAGAATTTATATACTTAACCTTATATTTAACATGTTTATTCTAATTAAATCAAAATATGTAGATCTTTTATAGATTATTTATTATATAATAAACTCTTATCATTAATATTATTAACACATTAAAATCCACTTATCTTAATTTGATTGATTAGATAAAGATAAATTGAGTGCATATATAAGATTAAATATCTAAATATTTCTCTTTTCTTAATAGTGAATTGAGTGAAGTATTAAAAAAATTCTTATAAAAATCCCTATAAATTGTTTAAAAAAATTGATTATATTCTTATCAATGGACGGCATAACTTGGCATGTGTTTGGAAATGAATTTGTAAAATGCTTTGAGTTTGGCTAAAGACAAGGTCATAATTAAGTCTAATGGAGCTCCAGTACTGTCAGCTGAAAATAGCCGAATTTTCTTCATAAACAGTTATTTCATATCTGAAAAATACTACCTCTCATGAAAAATATAAAACATTTTTTAAAAGTTTAGGTATTAAAAAATATAAGATATTTTTAGTATTTTGAGTTATAATTAATGTGTTTTTATCAAAAGTGCCTCTAATAAATAAGTCATTTTTATTTATTTTAAGTGAAATACCTCATTAAATAGGGGAAAATATAGAAAGATGGTTTTATTGAAAGATAACTAACTATTTTATTGTAGGGTGTTATTCGATTAAAAATGCCTTACATTTTTAAATGAGAGAATAATTCAATTATTAAGTTTAATAAAGAGTAGCTTTGATCTTTTAATATAATTTTTTTCCATCCACAAGTTTTAAATCCTCAATTTTAACTAAGAAAAATTAACTCCCAACCCATTGGCATTGTTATATACATAGACTAATTTAATTAGTCAATATGAGTTGAGAGAGAGAGACAGTGGAAACCGCAAGGCTTTGTGATGTAATACTAACTATAGAAAAGAAAGGACATGAAAAAGTGAAACTAAGCTGTAATTTTATTTATTTATTTATTTTTTTGCTATGTATTTAACACTCCCACTCAGGGCAAGGCTGCAGATTATTTGTAGTCTGCACATGTGGAAAACAATCAGAAAACACACAAATAAAAGAGAGGCCTTGATCACGACACCACTTTAAAGCCTTGCAAAAATAGCCTCAGCCTCGCTATGAAAGGGGGAAACAGGGTCAATAAATTTCCCCCTAGCAGCAATATAATCACCCTCTGCACAAATAACTATAAATCCAACACCAGCAGCAGCAAATTTTTCATTGTGAGCTCCAACAGTAAACAACGAGGTCATCTTACCCATGTCACCTTCAGCATCATCACCTTCAACAGTTCTATTATTAAGTCCAGGTCTCCTGCGTGAGTTAGCATTAGTCCAGGATTTCCAGTACAATACAACACATTGAATAATAGCAAAAGAGTCAAATATTTTTTTCTCAAAGATCAAAGAGCAGAGAACAAAACAAGATATTTAGAACCATCAATGAGTTTACTATTCTCCAGGCATTCCAGCAGCCACATGTCCAGCCGATGCATAGTTCCAGTCTCAATTTTGATCCCTAGCAGAGATCCAAACCTAAAGTTTTAAAAATTAGACCGGACCGATTAATTTAACCAGTTGAATTAGGAATTGACTTTTGGTCCGATCCAATGAACCCCCTTAAACCGGACAGCTGACCAAATGGTCAACAACTAGCTAACTCAGTGAAAACCGGCTTAACCGGTAAAAAGCAAACCAGTTTTGAACTTATGAACCGGATCAAACTTTATTAAAAATCACACAGGTCAAGAGTTGGAATTTTTGAATTTAGAGAACTCACCCCCATTCTGTCAGTGTCCCGTCATTTTATGGGCAATCATCTAAAGTGGAGAATCTGCTATCTTTTGATGTTGGACTTTATGCTTTTTAATAACAGTACTTGTTTTCTTCGTTTTCCATTTTTTCCCATAATCTTTGTTGGGTTATTTTAATTAGGATTATTGAGTAAGTAAAATCCTAAATTTTTATTTGAAAATTACCATAGACCCTAAACTCTTAAAATATACAAAATAAACCCTGACCGTTAACTTTTTTAATATTGTTACTATCCACACGGGTACTGTAACAGTCAGGGTTAAATTTGAAGGAAAATAAACCCTGAATAGTACCTACATATATAGTAATGGTGTTAAAAAGTTAACGGTCAGAATTTATTTTGCTATGAATTTAAAAGTTTAGGGTTTATTTTGCATATTTTAAGAGTTCAGGGTCCAGGACTATTTTCGAGCAATAGTTCAGGGTCTTATTTGCTCATTAACCCTTTTTAATTATTTCTTGAATTATTTTTTAGTATGGTAATTAATCTTTATACTTTATTATAGTTAATTTAATTTTAAAAAAGCTTCAAAAAATGCTTAATACTTTGTCATTTCTATACATAATGAATGAGTGCTTTTAAAATATTAAATAAGTTTAGAAATATTTTACAAAATTTCATCTTTAATATACCATTTAGCATATAAAATTAAAATTAAAAATATATTAAATTAGTCATGCTCGGTTCAACAACGAATTAACCACGGTTCGACCATTAACCCTTATACTAGTGTCTCGTTTGGTTCAATAACCGATGCAGTTTTTAAAACCTTGTTCAAACCACACTGTCCTTGATCTCTCACAGAGTAAGAGCAAATGATCAATAGATTCCTGCAAGTCAGTACAAAATAAACAAAAAGGAGAGTTAGTGCAATGCCTTCTCCATAAAGCATCCCTAGGAGGAATGGACCCCTTTAAAGCCTTCCAAACAAAGATTTTGATCTTATTTGGAGCTTTAACTTTCCAAAGCAGCTTCCATAGCTTCTTATCAATAAGAAAAGGTCAACCTAGCCAAGTATTCA